TTGCTTTCTGCTCAAGCCATAGAAACTTCCTTTCAGTTCCTCAAATACACATCTGCCTCGGGGCTATTGCACTTGCTGTTTCCTTTTCTGCAACAGTCCTCCTCATTAGTCATTTAATCCCTACATATCCTCCAGGTCTCAATACAAGTGTCTGAATGCATTCCCTGACCACCCACCTCCCCTGATTCTTGTCAATCTCTTCTATCAGATACTTTTTAAAAAAAAATATATTTTATTGATTTTTTATAGAGAGGACGGGAGAGAGATAGAGAGTTAGAAACATCAATGAGAGAGAAACATCGATCAGCTGCCTCCTGCACATCTCCTACTGGGGATGTGCCCGCAACCAAGGTACATGCCCTTGACCGGAATCGAACCTGGGACCTTTCAGTCCGCAGGCTGACGCTCTATCCACTGAGCCAAACCGGTTTCGGCCAGATACTTTCTTAAAACACTGCTGCTCTCCTTCATGGAACATACATCTATACTAATAAAAGGGTAATATGCTAATTAGACCAGGAGACCTTCCGGATGTCCTTCCGGACAAAGCCATGGTGGTGGGGCCAAGGCAGAGGCAGTTAGGGGTGATCAGGCCAGGAGGGGAGGGCAGTTGGGGGTGATCAGGCCAGCAGGGTCGGGGGGAAATTGGGGGTGAACAGGCTGGCAGGGGGGCAATTGGGGGCTATCAGGTTGGCAGGGGGGGTAGTTCGGGGTGAGAAGGCTGGTGGGGGGACAGTTAAGGGTAAGCAGGCCGGCAGGCAGAGTGGTTAGGGGCGATCAGGCAGGCAGGCAGGTGAGCGGTTAGGAGCCAGCGGTCTCAGATTGCGAGAGGGATGTCCGACTGCTGGTTTAGGCCCGATCCCACACTGGCAATCGGACATCCCCTGAGGGGTCCCAGATTGGAGAGGGTGCAGGCCAGGCTGAGGGACACCTTCCCCCCCCCCCCCCATGCACAAATTTTGTGCACCGGACCACTAGTAAGCTTATAATTATGCATTACTCAGTGCAATGATTGGTTTATGTCTGTCTCCCTCACTATAAACTCTAAGAAGGCAGAGCTGTTGTCTGTGTTATTTTAACACTACGGTGTCGGGTGAATTTCCCGCCAAAATATAAGATGGCGCGGGCAATTATTTAGGTTTCCCGCGCAAAATCAGAGTTAGTTTAAAATGCCTATATCTTTTGAAGTATGGGTTCGATTGAAATGAAATTTTCGGTTTCTTGTGTAAAAAATGAAAATTTATTCAATCACAGACATTTTTTTTATCTATTCAGTACATAAATAATTCGATATATATAAACTAAATACGAAAAACCCAAAAAATACTTATTACCTAAAAATATACACATATTTTTAAAGTTTAAAATAAAATTTTCATAATAAATCAAAACAAATAGAAATTAATAGTTTTTTAGCGTATGATATTTTTCAAAACACGCCCCTTTATGTAGAGGTATATTGCAAAATTTGCACATGTAGCGTGTCTCACTGCGCAATTTATGAACGGAACATACGCGACACCTTCTCAAAATGTTTTTCTTTTTTCCACTTCCGACAATTGCCTGTAACGTATGCTTTCTCATGTCCATCGATAGCCTGCATGGTGGATCAGATGTAGGTGGTTTAGCCCGCATTCCAGAAGTAGACGGTACTGGTTGAAGGTCTGGAACAATGTCCATGTCCTCTGGAATATCATCCGTCAACCAGTGGATAGCTGTTTGTTTCAAAAACATTTTAAAACCCATTTTTCTTTGCCTCACTGATTTGTAAACTGCATAAGAATTAAATAATGCGCAATTTATCATATACATTGCCAACCTTTTTGTCCATTTGACCGTCCTCCGCAATATCGAATAATATGAAAGGTATTGGTCGGCCCGGTCAACACCTTTCATATGTTTATTGTAGTCAATGAGTGCATTCGGTTTGACAATTTTCTTTTTTGATGTTCTGTCAATATTCTGACTTTCTTCCATCTCCGCAGAATGAATCGAAGAAATCAGGTATACAGGCTTTTTTGATTGCCACACTTGTAACAATATATCATTTTTCCTTATAAATTTTGTTTCACCTTTTTTCAAAGAAATTGTTTGAAAATCTTTAGGTATACCTCGATTTTTCCGGATTGTTCCACATATTCTGAATTTGTTTTTCATAAGTGCTTCACAATTTGCGACGCTATTATAATAATTGTCCATATATATATGGTACCACGAATCAGTGTATGGAGACACTACTGTTTGTATCGTTTCCAATAATCGCTTTCCTTCGCCGCAATAAATTTCCATGTTACAGATATATCCTGTATCACTTTCGCACAACAAACGAACCAATATTCCATATTTAACGATCTTGCCAGCATTATATACCCTAAAGAATAATCTTCCCCTCCAAGGTACGATCCCTTCATCTAGTGATAATTGCTGATGAGGTTTGTAAATATTTATAAATTTAGGCACAAAATAATCTAGTACTGGTCTCACTTTGCAAAGTCTATCTGATTCATTTACGATATCCGCATTATTATTGAAGTGCCAAGCTTTCCATATCTGTCGGAACCTGTCTCTCGTCATCGTTTTACCAAAATATGGCGTCTCCGTCCATGGCTCCGTGGTCCAATAGTCATCTCTTGTATCTTTGCGCACCTGTCCCATGAGAACAATTAACCCTAAAAACTTCTTCATCTCTTGAGGGGTTATATCTTTCCACTTTAGGCTTTTTTTTGAAAGTTTGAAATTATTCCTATTTTGATTATAATACCTGTTTGACTCCTCTACAAGAAATTCAAAAAAATCATCTCCGATAAATAATTTCACGGCATCTTCTATATTATTTATAACAGCATCTGTGTTTAATCCTTGATGCCCTAAAAAATCTTCTAAGACCGGTGGATTATCAACATGCGACCATTCTTCTCTCCCGCCTTCTATATCTGACTCTGAGTCAGAGCTGGAGCTCGAAATTCTTCGTCGCCTCAATGTCCTGGGACGCACCATTACTTCATCATCACTAGAATCTTCATCACTTGTACTCGCATTTTCAAGATCGCTATCACAAGAATAATTGGACAACTTGTCTGCACAAAACTCATCATCACTATAGTCTGAATGCTGCGACATTCTAGGTTAAAGCAAATAAAAATAATACTAACTGAAAATAGCGGTACTCCAATAGATATCTGATATAAAAAAATAATTATTATGCGAACACTTTGCGGAACGATTTTATTTTATTTGGTTAAAAAATTCTATATGAATGTCTTTATCACAATATATTTAAATATTTAAACACGTAATAATATTCACAAAACTCAAAACTAAAGACGTCCGGACACAAGAAGTATTTCTCAATAACTATTCTCTTTGCATGGTGAGATATCCAGGGATATCGGTTACAAAATGAGAAAACAATACATTGGTACCCTAACGGTATTGTACTCGACCAGCGCCATAAAGTGTTCTCTACTTACAAGGGATTTTTATGATACCTATTACCCCAATGGGTATGAAACGGTTCGCATACACAGGTAGGTATCTTTGTGAACGGCAAACAAACAAATATTTGGTAATACGCAGTTACAATCGGCCCGAGTTTACACGTTTCCCGCACTCCACCGCAAATCTATATGAACCGAGTTAAGACGGCTCCCGCGGAGTACGCGCAATTCACGCGAGCCGACTTAACTCGTTTCCCGCAATCCAAGTGTTAACTGTATTTCCAGTACCTGGGACAGCAGTTGTTATGTAGCAGGTATTCAATGAATATGTTTTGCAGGGAATTAGAAAACAAACAAACAAAAACAAAACAAAAACCAAGGCACACTTCCATATTCCCAAAGTGGAATATGGAAGATCTAGAGACAAAAGAGAAGATGTAGGTCATATTTAAGGTGTAACAGCCTCAGGGTTAAAAATTGGCACTCTCTCTCCACTCTTCAGTAGCCAGTCAATCCATAAGACATTTACTTAAGGAGTGCGTGGGTTTCCTCCTTTCCAGTCTGGAGAAAAGAAAAGAAAAAGTACTCGCAGAGAACACTAAACACATTCTCTCACACACGCGCACACACATCTAAAAAAGAAATTTCAACCCCAATATATGCAGAGGTGTGTCCAAGCCAGAATCAGTCTTTAGATAAGAGAAATGTTAAAAAGCATTCTTGTCAAAACTGGACACGAGCTTTCAACTTGTCCCACTCCCATATGCTCTCAAGAGGAGCCTTAGCATCTGTATGCTAATTACAGACACGGTGGCCAGCGCTAGGCGCAGCAAATCTGACTTAGTCGCTTGCCTGGAGGAAACATTGTCCAACATTCTTAGCTTGTAAATGACACTACTGCTTGGGCTGCCCCTCCCCAGCCCTTTCCAGCCCCACCCTGTTCACAAACCACTGCCCCCTCCTCCTTCTACTCAGGTCAGAGCCAAACTAGCTGCCTGGTTTGGTAATAAGATTGAGGGAAGACTCAGAAGGCCCCGTGGGCTCCATTATTACGCACACCCTACAAGAAGGGCCACCTCCAGGGACTGTTGCTGCAGATCTGAGCTCCACTTGCTGCCAGGAAACCTTTCCCATTGAGGACACCCTGAGCAGGCAGCGCAGCAGCCCCAGGTCCAGGGGGAGGCACCCCACCCATCTGCCAGAGAGACAAAGATCACCAGAAACAAAGGACACACACAGACCCGCACACACACAAAGTCAAAAGCAAATACCGACACTTGGTGCAATTTCAAGCCAAACAGCCAGCTTGATGTATCTTTAAATAGATTTTGCAACAATCCAGGAGGGACAATGACTATATGATAATGACAGGCACTATCTGGGTTTGGAACCCACGCTGCCTCCACCCTCCTCCCACCGTTACTGCTGTTCCCAGGCGCATTTTTCTGCCTCAGGACACACGCTGCCGGGAGCAAGAGTGCTTCCACTCGCGGAGGCGCGCACACGCCGGAGGTGGAGGCAGGGCAGGCAGGGCGAGGGCGGCCAAAAGTAGGAGATACCAACCTTTAGGATCCCAGTTAACCTGTTTTCTTGGAGTCTCGATTGGAAATTTCATTGCTCCGTTGCCCAGATGGGGAGGAAAGGGAAAGAATCAAAATGATAAAGTCCTCAAGCTTTCAACACCTCGGCACAGCAGTCCAACAAAAACAATTTCCAAGGATGGGGGAGCCCTGGACCGGCTCGCGGAGGAACCCCAGAGAAAGACAAATGGAAAATAGTGGCTTAGGAGGGAACTGGAGGCGGCTGGGATGTTTGCACCGGTTGAGGGGTGCCTGGGAGCAACCCCCGGGGTACAAGGAAAAGTGAGGTCCGCGAGGGGAGGATGTAGGAGGCTCGGGAAGATGAAAACGCCGAGCTTCGCAAACGCGTGCGGGCAGGTCCGGGCTGAGCCGCTGGAGGGCTGCGGAGGGAGAAGCCCACTGCAGTGTCACTCCAGCCCCCAAGGCGTGTGCACACACTCCCGCACACACACTCGCCCGGCGCGCGCTCCTGCGGCGGGCACGTCAGCCTGGTTCGGTGGTGCAGAGCGCACGCCCCACCCCACCAGTGGCTCCTCGCCTGCAGGCGACGCCCCCCACTCTCCACCCCCGAAAAGCCATTGGACAGAGGGGTGGCGCGGCGCGCAGGGAGCTCGCAGCGAGGGCGGGAGACCCTCCCTGCTTGCGCTTTGCTCTGCAGAAGCCGCGCCAAGACTGGAGAGATCGAGGCGGGCGGAGATGCCTGGCCAGGGCTCTGCCCCCGGCGCCTGGCCTGAGGCAGCGGCAGCTGCGGACTTGCCCCGCCGTGTGCGTGCGGTGCGGGCAGCGGGAAGCTGCGGGTTCGGAAGCCGCGGTGGGGCGGGTGCAGGCGGCGGGCGCACAGCTACTTACTGGTTCCGCGGGCGGGCGTGGAGGCAGGCGCGGCTCTTGGTGGAGTTGCCGCCGGAGACACGCTTGGCTGCCTGGAAGGCGCTGCAGGAGGTGGAAGAAGAGCCGAGGTGGCCCTGCCGCAGACCTGTGCTCCAGGGGTCACCTCTTGTCACCGCTCCCACCCTGGGCGCACCCCGCTTCTTTCCTCACTTCATTTTTCACTCCGGTGTCCTCCTGTGCCAGGTGCTCCCGCCTGCGCCCCGAATGAATCTACATCCCCGGCGCGCTCGGAGGACGCAGGTGCCAGCCATGAGCCTTTTGTTCTGGGACCGTTCCGATCAGCTCTGCTCTCCCGCCCGGGGAAGCTCGCTCCCCAGGCACAGCCCCGGTTCTTCTCCTGCTACCTGCGGGCTGGCTGAGGCTGCTGGTTGGAGGCCGGGGAAGAGGGTGGAGAGAGGCGCGGCGGCCCCAGAGGAAAGCGGAGTTGCCAAGACCTGGCAGCTCCTGGAAGCGGGGGCCCCAGGAGTCCCAGGGCCCAGCGGGTACAGGTGCGCGGGGCTCCAGACACGTTCAGCGCCCCCCCCCCCCGCCCCCTGCCCCGCTTCCGCCTGAAACTACACAAGAGCTTGTGGTGGGACCTCAGTCTCCAGGAGAACCTAGTGGGCTGAGATGGTCCTGAATGGGCCACTGGACGTACCAATCTGAACAACGTTTAGAAATGACTCTGGGTGCCCAGCATGGGAGCCGTGCACTAGTCCATGCTGGAGAAATACTTGCTCAAGGAAGGCATGAATTGCATACAGCGTGTTGGAGAGGAAGTAGTTTAAGTAACTGTCCGTTCACTGTCCATGCCACGCATATCCTAAACCCCTTCGATGTGCCATCACTGCACTAGGTGCTGGTGATATGGCAAAGCACAAGATAGGCATGGACCTTGCCGTCCACGCCATGAGGTGGGGTAGACCGTCATTGCCTTCACTTACGAACGAGAAGTGACTTCGGGGCTCATTCTCGAGCCTGCCTGCCAGCTATGGCCCTAAACCCTACACTAAGTTTTGCTTGAGGCTTCTGAGGAGCCTTGTGTCACAGCATCCTTTTCATCATCGATTCTCCACAGTCACATCCAGGCTTCTGAGTTCCAGGGCAAGGTTCACAGAGGGCCACTGTCACCCGTGGCAGGGGTTGGTAAGTGCTTGGTCACTGACCCTTCAGGCCGCCACGGCTGGAGCCAGAGTTCTCTGCAAACCTTGTTCAGAAAAAACTGGTACCAATCTGACAGTGCCACCCGAGCGAGCGCACAGGTCCCCCGGGCAGGTTCCCCAGGCACGTCAGAGCCAGCTTCTCTGGGACTCTGTTTCCGCACTTTGCTTCCCTCCACTAGAAGGCTTGAGAGGATGGATGAGATGGATCAGTATGCATGTGGATCCTGCTCCCAAGCCCAAAGGGAACGGCTGGTGAGCTCCCAAGAAAGCCTGCAGAGCCTCCCTCTGCCTTCTCCTCGAGTGCTCATGGCCAGGAGGGCTCCAGGCCAGTCACCGCAATGCCATGTTCCCACCTGCATCCGAGTCAGAGAGGTCTCCACAGAGAAAGATACCCTCTCGCCTGAATCCTCTGAGGACCGGGATGTCAGACTAACATTTATCAAATGCATCCCTGACCTTCTCACACTTCTCTCCATCCAGTTTCCCTACATCTTTCCTCTGAGGAAGCCCTAACGAGTCCCATTTTACAGGTGAGAAGATCAAAGCACAGAAAGATAAAACAAAACAAAAAAACACCCCCCCCAAAATAAAACACCCCCAAAACACTCCAAGGTCACAACACGGAGATTCAAACCCAAGTGAGCTCCTCTGGTCCCTGACCCATGAATTTGACCCTGAAGCTGTCTCATGGGTTCTTCTGGGTAAGGATGATCTACATACTATATTATCCAAGACGCCAGCCCCTCCATTGCAAAATGAGTTGTGCTAACCTCGTGCCCTGGGGTCTACATCAGGGAATTAGTTCACTGTCCAAGGCAAATTCCTGAGGCACAAAATACGGCCTTAGGGTGGATCATTCAGCCAATCAACGAACAAATATCAAGCATCCCCTGTGTACAAGACGGTTTGCAGTTTTTCTTAAAAGTTATATTGGGACCTGGAGAGCCTTCCCCAGAAAAGCATCTGCAGGATGATGGAAGGACTGTTTGGAGGCTGGGAGAGTTGGGAAGGACCCACGGGTGGGGGGTGAGGGAGCAGGACCAGGGCTGCGGAGTCCTCTTGCTGTTAAATACTTGCAGTAGTCTTTGGCCCTTATGATCATCTCTCTGCTAAATCACTCTGCCTCCCCACCATCACCCCCACCATCACCACCACCACCACCACCACCAAGAACAACCTCTGGGGCTTTTTCTCATCTCTGCTTTCATTCTGCTTTCTCAGAGGGTGTGTGGAGGGGTGGGGTGGGGGGGTGGGGGGGCAAGTTCAGCAAAAATGAACCAATTAATTAATGAATCCCAGCACCCCCTCCCCTAACTGGCCTAAATCAAGTCCAACTCCTAACCTGCTTAGTATTTGGAATGGACAGCTGAGGACTGGGGGTGGGGTGTAAGAGATAAGCCCCCCCCAAGCCCCAAGTAAAAAAACTTAGCACATTAACCCTTTGCGCTACTGCCATGCCCTTCCATCAGCTTCCATTCTCTGCCTTCATTATTACAAACTGGATTCCACTTACCCCAGACAGGAGGGAAGAAGGGGTCTGTGCAGAGGGAAAGCATCCAGAAGAGATGCCGCGCCAAGCGGTTCCCTGTCGGTCTGCGCCGCCCCAACTTCCATGGCTATTGCTGACGGCTGCGGGCGAAGTCTGGTGGGGAGCTACCGCCTCGGGCTCCTGCGGCAGGACCACAAAGCATCGTGGTGCCAAGTGGCTCAGCTTCCCGCCTGCGGGCAGCGGCCTCCCCTGCGCTTTGGCCGGGAGGCGTGGCTGTAGGTCCCTGGGTCTCCGCAGCTCAGAACCTGCAATCCTGGCGGCACCACTTTAATGAGCGCCGGGTGGCCCAGTCATCTCCCCGAGGAAGTTTTCCGCGAGTTGGCTCCTATACTTCCTCCCCCTGCACAACCCCGACCCGTGTGAGAGCAGAGGGGAGCTGACTGCTTCGAGCGGGTCTCTGAGTGGCTGCCCAGGCACCGCTCAATCTGAGGACTGCTGAACGCGGATCGCGGGGTGCGGCAGGAAAGAGTCCTTGCTGAACAGGGATTCCGGGGCGCAGCAGGAGAAGAGTCCGGACAGCGAGAGATGAAGCAGCTTGGGGAATCTTGCTTAATGCTGGTTCCACAAACGGAAGGAGAAGGGGAACAGATCTGATTAGAATCAACTTTAATTCACGAATATCAGGATGCATTCATTCATCTGCCTCGGGTTATTTCCCTTGGAGGTCCAGAAGAAACCCCAATCTTCCAAGCTCTCCCCCATTCCCAAGACACCTCCAAGCCCTCTTCCCAAAAAAACCACGTCATTTTGTGAAGAGAACCCCATACAAACCCCGCGTAGAGTCACTGGCATAAAACCGATGGGGCCATTCTGCACGAAAGTTAACTTGAACTTCTTCTACCAGAAATGTTTTATTTCCCTAGTGAAGTTGTCACTGTGTTCTCAGCATTTAAGCCGAGAACATTTGTCTCCGTGTCCCAACCAGAATCTGCAGAATCACATCCTTAAATATATGTTGTTCTAATCTTGGGCTCTGCTGTTTTGGGAAAGGCTAGAGGCATACCGGCAGCTATAGGGCAGAGGGTGTCAGATGTCAGACTGCTCTACAACAAACCCCCTGTGTGTAAATCCTGAGGCTTTATTGCCTTGACTCAGACCTCTGATTGGGGGTTAATGAAGACAACATACTCTGAACTCGAAAGAAGTTGTAATTAGAACATCGGGTTGATGAACGTGTTTCATAACCAGGAACCATATCCTCTCCCTCTGTGAGTTTCTTTGTTTTAAATTTTAGCCCTTGAGAAAATGTAAGTTAAGCACCCATAAAGCATTGTGCCAAGCATTTAACCAAAATGTGCAGAGTTCCTTATAAAAAAGTTTTAAGGTGATTCCCTCTCTCTGAGTTATTAGTAAAACATAATCCCAGGTAAATTTTTTTTTTTTGAGAGCTTGAGCTGGAATTGTTTTGGTTTTCCCCTCAATTTTTTTTATTTTGAAAAAAATTCAAACACACAAAAATGTTATGTTCACTTAGTAAAAAACCAGGATCCAATCAAAGGTTGAATCTGTTCTATATATTTAGTGTATTTTAGCCTAGAAAATTTCCTCAATCTTTTTTTGTTTGTTTGTTAATCCTCACCAGAGGATTTTCCCCCCTTTCCATTGCTTTTCAGAGAGAGTGGAAGGGAGGAAGAGAGAAGAAGAGAGGGAAAGAGAGAGAAAGAGAGGGAAAGAGAGAGGAAGGGAGGGAGGAAGGGGAGAGAGAGAGAGAGAGAGAGAGAGAGAGAGAGAGAGAGAGAGAGAGGAGAAACACATCAATTGGTTGCCTCCCAAACACACCGAGATCTTGGGCAAATTTTTAACCCAGGTATGTGCCCTTCACCGGGATGAACCTGTTACCTTTGGTGCGTGCCAACACTCTAACCACTGAGC